TAATTATTGATATCAGGAATTACATTTCAACTAGTAAAAACTATAATTCTTGATATCTGTAATTGTATTTTCACTCGTTAAATGTCACCATAGGCTGCCATTCAAAATCAATTGTTGATATCAAGAATTAATTTCTTATTAGTTGAAATTCCAATTTCACATATCAGAAATACAATTCTAACTAGTAAAAACCTTTATTTTTGATATCAGTAATCACATGGTAACTAGTACAGATGTTTATTCTTGATATCAACAATTTAATTGTCACTAGTGACAATGTTCATTTCTGATATCATGAATATGGCAAGCCGTTTGGACTTTTATTCATTATCAGGATATATGGCAAGCCGTTTGTACTTTTATTCATGCTCAGGATATGAATTCTTGATATCAACAATTCAATTTTTAGTTAAAATGTTAATTCTTGATATCAGGAATTAGATTTCTACTAGTAACAATTGCTATTTTTGATATCAGCAATTACATTTCCACTAGTAACAATGTTAATTCTTGATATCAACAATGACATCATCACTCGCAGAAATTGAATTCTTGATATCAGCAATTAAATTTCTACTAGTAAAAAATATTATTCTTGATATCAATCATTTATATCCTGGGAATGGCAATAGGCAAGCTGTATTGACTTTTATTAATTCGCTGGATATGAATTCTTGATATCAACAATTCAATTTTTACTATTTAAAATGTTAATCCTTGATATCAGGAATTTGATTTCTACTAGTAACAATTAGAATTTTTGATATCAACAATTACATTTTCACTAGTAAATATGTTAATTCTTGATATCAACAATTCAATTTTTACAATGCGATGCATGACACTCGATAAGAGGTATCTTTTCCATGTTAATCATAGTTTTTGCCCTAACTAGCCGCAACGGCGACACTCAAAATTTCTATTTTAGAAACGGTTTCTATTTCCGCGATGTCGCGGCTGGAACAACAACATACAAACTATATGACAGTAACCTCAGGTACTGATTATGTGCTTTATTCAAAGTTAAACATGTCTAATGAGTTTGAATATCATTCTGCGTGACCGTTATAGCCATACTGAAAGCAACAATATAGTTAACCGCAGGTATCTTGAAATAAGATATACATTAAAACTGAGAACTCACCCTTTTGAAAAAACCAGCATATGCTGGTTAGGTATGTTTTGATGCTGGGATGCTGGTTTAAGCTGGTCCTTTGCTGGTTTATGCTGGTCCTTTGCTGGTTTATGTTGGTCCTTTTGCTGGTTTATGCATACGTCAAAACATACCTAACCAGCATATGCTGGTTTTTTCAACAGGGCAATGCGAACCAACAACCGTATTCCATGACAAAGATGGTATCAGTCACTCAATATGTACTTTTAATAATGTTAAAGGGGTCATATGATGCGATTTCAAGTTTTCCTTTCTCTTTGGAGTGTTACAAGCTGATTGTGCATAGATAAGATCCCTGAAGTTTCAAAGACTAAAGTTTCAAAACCAAAGAGATAGTCTTTATCAAAGTTTAATGAGTTTGTTTGCCCATATAATCTTAAGGAAATTGTGTGTAAACTTATTTGGCTTGCTGTCCACTGATGAGGGGCTCGATGAAGCAGCTTCAACTCGAGCTCTTATATACCCCCAGGGACTTGATATAGGATGATTACGAAGGGCAAGGTACCTAAGATGAAAGGTGGAGTCATTTATTTTGAAAGATGAAGCTCGCGATTATGGTAAGGGGCGTTACATTTCCGACGAGTGCTTGCGGTGTTCGGCCAATCACAATGCACTGGGTCAGCTGGCCAATCAGAGCAGACTGCGCTTGTCGGTAGGAGGGACTTTGTAGAAAACAGAGGCGGGTTTGAGAGAGGCGGGGCATAGAGGACCTACAATAATGTACAGTATTTGAAAAATAATGTGTTTTTTGAACATTAAAGCATGTCAGCATATTCTGTTACACCAAATACACAAAATAATGCTCTTTAAAAAAGCATCATATGGCCCCTTTAAAAAGGTTAGTTATGAATTAGATTATAAACATATCCATTTCTTTGCGAGTGCAGTGCGCTTTCAGGGAGAGCCCACCCACACACGCTTTTGATTGGCTGTGATATTTGATTGATTCTGTGTGGTGTGGACAGCCGTTGTGCTTGTCACTGGAATCCTGTCGCATTGCGTGTAGTTAGGACATGGTGTAAACCTACCCTCACAGAAATTTTGCAAAATCGTGATTTATAGTGCATGAGCACGTCCTTTTAATGTTTATATTGAACTGAATTGACATGTTTCTGTACTTTATAAATATTTTGATTAGAATTAACTATAGCAGAATCAATATTACAATTATTTAATCTGTTCATCCACCAAGCAGACAATATAATCGTTTACCAATTCTAGGAAAGGTTAACTTCCTGGTCAAGGAAGAAAAGCTTTCCTACTGTATTGCAGTAACTTAGCATGTAGCAAGATCAACGTTTCAGTGACTTTGAACTATAAGCAGCAAAGACAGAGACAGTCATTCAAGAATATAAGGTATTTAATAAATGAAACTACAAGTAACATACAACTAAACTAAGCAAAACACATACATATAGAATGAAGGAAAGTAAGGAGAGAGAGAGAGAGACAAGAACAAAGAATGGCAGTATTTAACATAAATTAAACACAACCAAACCTAACAGAGAACCATCAGAGAATTCAAACTTAGAAACATATAAATAGTTGATAAAACAGTTACTTGCATTGGCTTTGTTGCTGAACAAGAGTCCAGATGCATGTGAACAACAGATATTCTGGATGAGTTTGTTAGGAGTGAGCTGGAAGCTTTTGTCAGGTTCTTCTGAAGATTGGAAAGTCCACGGATTAATCGACAAAGGTTACTTGAAGATAAACCTGCCGGAAGATCAGACTCAAAAGGGATGAGTCTTGGACAGCATCTGTCTCAATGGTTTTGAGGAACATGGTGGGGTTGCAAAAGATGTTTTAAGGGTCTCTAAAGACCCTTCTGTCAAACTCCTTACAACAGGTTGAGCAGCTGGCTGTCTGGTGCAGTTTTAACAACCTGGAGAAGAACATGCTCAAAACTGTGGAGATGATTGTGGACTTCAGGAGAAACCCGCACCCCACCCCATCTTTTGACTTCATGAGTGATCAGTGTCTGACTTGAAGCAGTGCATCCCCATTTAAAATTTTAATTAAATAATTTAAGTATTATAGAACTATTCTTGTCAAAGTACTGAACGAAAAGTTTTTCTGTCATGAAAACATAAAAAACTAAATCTTTCATAATTAATATGGCTAATCCACGTCATCTCTGATAAAGTATGC